AAAAGTAGAGGAAGGAGAGCTTCTAAATACATTCTACGAGACCAGCATTATCCTGATACCAAAACCAGACAAAGGCCCTACACACACAGAAACTTACAGGCCAGAATCCCTGATGAACACAGAGGCAAAAATCCTCAACAAAATATTAGCAAACTAAATTCAATGATGCATTAAAAGGACACTCACCATGATCAAGTAGGATTTATTCCAGGGATACAATGGAGGTTCAGTATTAGTAAATTAATTAGTGAAGGATAATTAATAAAGTGAAGGATAAGAATCATATGATTATTGTCTCAGCAGATGCAGAACAAGTATTTGACAAAATTCAACATCCATTCATGAAAACCCTTAACAAAGTGGGCTTAGAGGGAACATGCATCAACACAATAAAGGCCATAAATCAGAAACCCACACCTAACGTCACACCCAATAGGGAAGAACTGAGAGCTTTATCCTAAGATCAGGAACAAGACAGGGATGTCCACTCTCACTACTTTTCTCAACGTAGTACTGAAAGTCCTAGCCACGGCAATCAGACAACAAAAAGAAATAAAAGGCATCCACATTGTTAAGGAAGAAGTAAAACACTCACTATTTAGAGATAAAATAATATTATATACAGAAAACCTGAAAGACTCCACCAAAAAACTGTTAGAATAAATGAATTCATTAATGTTGCAGGCTACAAATTAATATTCAAAAATCGGTTGCATTTCTACACACTAATGATGAAATAGCAGAAAGGGAAATTAAGAAAACAATCCCATTTACAATTACACCAAAAAGAATAAAGTATCTAGGAATAAACTTAACCAAGGAGGTGAAAGACTTGGGGTCTAAAAACTATAAAACACTGATGAAAGAAATTGAAGAGGACCGAACAAATGGATTAGAAGAATTAACATTATTAAAATGTCCATACTACGAAAGCAATCTACAGAGTCATTACAGTCCCTATGAAAATATCAAGAGCATTTGGCACACAACTAGAACAAATCATACTAAAATTTGTATGAAACTACAGAAGACCCTGAATCGCCAAAGCAATCTTGAGAATGAAGACCAAAGCTAGAGGTATCACAATCCCAGATTTCAAGATACACTACCAAGCCATGGTAAAGTAGTATGGCACAAAAATGTACTCATAGATCAATGGAACAGAAGAGAGAACCCGGAAATATACCCACACTTATATGGTCAGTTCATCTGCAACAAAGGAGACAAGACTATACAATAGGGAAAAGACAGTCTCTTCAGTAAATGGTGCTGGGAAAACTGGACAGCTACATGCAAAGGCATAAAACTGGACCACTTTCTTCTACCACACAAAAAGAGCAACTCAACTCAGAATGGATTAAAATCAACTCAGAATGGATTAAAGACCTAAATGTGAGACCTAAAACCCTAAGACTCCTAAAAGAAAACAGAGGCAGTAATTTCTTAAATATCGCTCTTCAGGAAAAAGAAACAACAGCAAAAATACACTGGGGCTACACCAAAATAGAAAGCATCTGCACAGTAAAGGAAACCATCAATAAAACAAAAAGGCAGCCTAGTGAATGGGAGAAGATATTTGCAAATGATATACTGGATAAGGGGTTAATATCCAAAATGTATCAAGAACTTGTACAGCTCGACAGGAAAAAAAAAACAAAACAAAACAATCTGATGAAAAAATGGGCACAGAACCTGGACAGACGTTTTCCCAAAGACGTAGAGATGGCCCAGCGGACATATGAAAAGATGCTCACCCCCACTCATCATCAGGGAAATGCAAATCAAAGGCACAATGAGATATCACCTCACACCTGTCAGAATGGCTAAAACTAACAACACAGAAAACAACAGGTGTTGGCAAAGATGTGGAAAAAGGGGAACCCTCTTACGCTGTCGGTGGGAATGCAAACTGGTGCAGTCACTGTGGAAAACAGAACAGAGGTTCCTCAAAAAGTTAAAAGCTAAAAATAGAACTACCGTACGATCCAGAAATTGCACTACCGGGTATCTACCCCAAAACAAAACAGAAACAAAAACGCTGATTCAAAAAGATATACGCATCCCTATGTTGATCAAGGCAGTATTTACAATAGCCAAGATGTAGAAGGAACCCATGTGTCCACTGAGAGATGAATGGATAAAAAAGATATGGTGTGTGTGTGTGTGTGTGTGTGTGTGTGTGTGTGAAACATACACACACACACGGAGTATCACCCAGCCATAAAGATGAATGAGATCTTGTCCTCTGTAACAGCATGGATGGACCTAGAAGGGATTATGCTTAGTGAGATAAGTAAAACAGAGAAAGGCAAACACCATATGATTTCACTGATACAGACAGAGAACAAACTTGTTGCCAAAGGGGAAAGGGAGGGAAGGACAAGAAAAATCAGTGAAGGGAGGTGGGAGGTACAGGCTTGCGGTTATGGGATGAATAAGTCACAGGGATAAAAGGCACAGGGAATCTAGTCAACAGCAAGCTAATAGCGTTGCGTGGTGACAAGACACCAGTCACGCTTGCGGTGAGCACAACACAGCATACGGACTTGTTGAATCACCACGTTGTGCACCTGAAACTAATGTAACATTGTGTGTTAACCGTATCAATTAAAAACCCTTAATATGTATTTTAATAATACACAAATGGGAAGAAACAATAAAGAAATGTCAACTCAGTTTGGAATCAGGAACCTCTACATTTGGGAACGATTCTACCCTAACTGGGCTAGACAATTCTACATCTCCAACTGAAGTTCTATTAGCTTACTGCAGAAATACCTCATTAATTAGAGAGAGAAACCTTCCATAGGACTATATGCCATTGAAACAATGATGAAACCATTGAAACCAATGATGAAACCATTGACACACGGACACACACAGAAAAGCAGAAGTCCCTTTTCAACTTTGTAATTAATCCTAAACTCAAAGGTTGGTGGAAGGGAGGATATCCAACAACTGTGGGTACCTATGCAGGCCTCCACACCCCAGGCCAGTAGGAGCATTAGGGCATCTCTCTTCCGGCATAAAAGAACATCTGTAAAATGACTAGACGTGACGAGGATTACATGTGAACATTTAAATGGCATAAGGGGAAGCCAACGCTGTGGAAGAGACAACTCTAGATTATCTGGGTTACTGCTGAGAGCTTTTAACACAGACGATCATAATAAAATCTGGAGAGGCAGTGAACTCCTGGAGAGCAGAGAGATTTATATTCACAGCCCCTGACCCTTGCACATAAATACCTAGTCGACCATTAGTGAGCCCCCAGGGGTAGTCTGCTCCTGTGGGGGTGGGTAGCGTTTCATCACTGACATTCTTTAGAAATGCTGGTGCACGGTGATAGTAAAGAGCGGAGTCAGTTTTAGGTAGTTTTATCGCTGTCTTATATTCTCAGCAGATAACGTGTACCCCTTATGTCTGTCCCTTCGGCTGCACCCCACCCCCAGTTTTGTTCACAGCTACCACATTTGGACAGTGATTATATCCCTGGGACCTCTTGAGATGTAAGAGCCCTGACGTGGCACCTGCTGATAAATCAACTGGGGTCGGGCACCGCACCCACGTCACCATGCTGCCATTGCCCCTGGGTGCCACGACCCAGGGTATCTCTATTAAATGAGCAATGACCATGGCCAGGAACAGGAGATGGGGGGGGGGGGGCGGGGAGGAAGTTCCTGGGAACTAAGTAGATTATGAGCCAATGAAAGTGTCTAGAAACTAGGGTCTAGTTATTTTCACGTGTTCTATTCTGCCTTGTGGACAGACATTTGATTTCTCGATAAAGGTTTGGCCACCATTATATTCCCGGTGCATGCTGGAGACGAGCTGAATCTAGACACTGTTTAACAAATCTTTTATCCTGATTCACTGCGACCCTGCCACCCTTCTTGTTTTAGCTTCCCTGAATGTGGGTCCGCTGTGGCAACGCAGAGAGACCACATCACAGAATTAGGGGAAAGAGATCGCCCAATGCATGGCCAAAACCGATCTCTCAGAATGAGTAACTTTCCCTGCTTCATTCCTGCGTCCTGCTGTGTGCCTTCTCTGCCCTATGCAGCCCACAGTGTCTAAATAGCACACACCCTTACAGTTAATTACAGAACGTCTGGTTAATTTATTCTGCCGTCAGGGGAGGGCTAGAATTGGAGGTCAGTCCTAAAATGCCCTCAGGCCTGGATCTTCTACGGAGGGACTGTACGGAGAGAGTACTGAGAAACACGAGTTTATTAGATGGTTGAAGATGTGTCCACAGCTGGGTGGGAGGCTGGGGTGTCTGTCAAACAGATCACCTGCTACTGAGCCATGTAGGGCTCCATCACGGGCCACACAGGCCCCTGTGAAAAACTGTTCAATCCCCCCCACCCCCCCACCGCCGGCCAAGCTACCTTTGTAATTTCCCTTACTTCATGTTACAAACAAAAGCTTCCTAGATTAGCATGAGGAGGAGAGAGGCCCTATGCCTCTGTTAACATTGTAAGTTCCATGTTTTACTTAGCTGGAAAGTATTCCTTTCTCTTAGCTCTTAGGCTCCCGAGGGCCATTCATTTTCTTTACTGGTAACCACTTTAGCTGGCACAGGCCAAGCTCGATGTCTTGTGAACACTGAAAATTAATAGGAGAATAAACCCAGAGAAAAACCTAACTAAGGAAACTTATGACCGTGCAATTTAATTCACTGCAGGTGGACAAGGCTGGCATGCTTATGGGGGAAGGTGGTTAGAGATGTGGGTCCTATGTTCTGAAACATCAATCAGCAGATGCCATGTTTTATCCTGTACTTATATCTAGACATTTACTCTTCAGTTCTAATAATCCTTCAATTATTACTTCAAATGGTAACGCTGAGAACTGGAATATGTGCAGATAACTCAAAACACAGGATTATATGAAAAAGGATGATGTCGATATGTAAACGTAAATCACTTCTTGGCCAGAATACATTCCGTCACTTTGTTCTGCACAGTCAACCAAATTGTAGAAAAGGGAGTTCCTACCTGGGGTCTTGAAGTTCCTCAGCTGGGAGGGAGTATCGTAAACTTCAAGGATCCAGTCACCGGTGGCTCGTTCTCCCCAGCAATGAATGGTCATGAACTCCCAGTTTTTAAATCCTTCCATGGAATGATCAAAAAGCCTGAGAGAGACCCATAAAACATTGTTTTGTATGTTGTTTAGGATCCAGTGAAGGTCGAATCAAGACCATGATCAACAATCCTTTTGTCTCCATCAGCATATCCAGCTCAGTACTGGAGCCTGTCTTCCTCCTGGACCTTGACCGTTAGTAGACCCAAACACGTGTCATTGTTCTACCACAGGGAAACAGGCGCAGGGGTGGCCTTGTAATAGCACGTCAGGCAGGGGTAAACATTTCGGGATCGGGAAAACCAGGCTATGGCTCTACCCAAAAGACTGATAGAACCAAGTGTTGAAGACGTGGAGAAACTGAAACTCTCTTACACTGCTGATGGGAATGCCAAATGGTACAGTTTGGTACTTCTTACCGTGTCATCCACAATCCCTCGCCTAGATATTTACCTGAGCAATGAAGACATAATGTTCACACAAGGAACCTCACAGGAATGTTCACAGCAGCTTTATTCATGAGCACTGAGAACTGTTAACAACTCCGATGTCCATCAACTAGTGAATGGGGAAACCAGTTCTGGTATGTGCATACAACCAAATACTACCCAGTAATAAAAACTATTGAATGGCCAGCAGCCAGCACACGCAACTAAATGAATTAATTTCAAAAGCCTTTAAGCTAAATGAAAGAAGTCAGACACAAAAGACTATGTGCTGTATGATTCAATTTATGACATCTAGAAAAGGCAACAGAAACAGAAACAGAGTAGTGGTTGCCAGGGGCTGGGAGGGAGGAAGGGGCACAGTAGAAGTATTGGGTATGATAGAACCATTTTGTGTCAAAACGCATTATATTACACATATTAAAAAGTGAGTTGTACTTTATGTAAATTATGCCTCAATAAAAAGACCCTGCCCGCTAATCTTAACCAGTTCAGGGAGTCATGCCTGGCTCTACAACATAGATTCTGTTCTTCTAGCTCTTCCAACGATTTTCTAAGCTCCTAATTCCCTATGTGAAATCTTTGCCTCCTTGCAATAGCTAGACTTATTTGTTTCCTGTGATGTAATCCTGAGGGATATAGAATAGGAAGGGACATAAAAGAAGAAAACAGAATCCTCATCAAAAATAAAGAGATGTCGATAGATCATGTATAAAACTAGCACATAAAGAAAGAGTTCTATCATTTATATAGGCACATTGTAGAGCTTTGACCGTCCAAAGAAATATCCAAAAGATTTCTATGGGGTGGGGGGTTGGCTGGCTCAGTGAGTAGAGCATGCAACTCTTGATCTCGGGGTCATGAGTTCAAGCCCCACGTGAGTTGTAGCGCCTACTTAAAAAAAAAAAAAAAAGATTTCTATTGAGAAAGAACCTAGAAAGCAAAAAATTAAGCGCCAAGAGACAGATTTTTAGAGTACTTAAAAAATAACGTGCATCGATTATTTTTGTGGAAAAAAATAATAAAACAAGAGAGAGAATTTGAAAGCCAGATAGAGAGGGAAGAATATCTCTAGGATTGTCTTAGGAGTAACCATGTCCAATTACTGGGACATATCTGTCCTTCAGTGGAGGCAAAGTTCACAGCCAACTGGATGCCGATGGCTATTCAGAACATGCAATCAACTCTCCTTGCCTTAATTTCATGTTCACCAAGGAAACTGGTGGTTATAATTTGACATTCTATGTATATCTTGCCATTGGAAGAAAATGCGCCCTTCTAAAACCAAAAATAACCTGCGTAATCTCTCTGCAATTTAATATGCTAGAATTCTGATTCATTACGTACAAAAGCGTTCTATCAATATGTTTGAGGAGCCCTCTAAAACGCTCGATGGATTCTGAAGTCGCAGGGTTAAGGGGCACAACTGGAACGTATGAGGTCAATGGGTGACGTTCAGCATTTTTCCCTGGAGAAACGCAACAAACAGGAAAATCACCTCTACGTGTTCCTTAGCCCTTGGAAGAAGACAAAGGGAAAGTACTTACCAGCATTCTCAAAGTGTCCCATGGTCAGAAAGTTTGGGAAAATTTGAGAAAGGCTGAGTTAGAGTTGAACAGATCTCTTTACCGGAAAACATCTCAGATCTTTGGATGTTCAAATGCTTTGTTAATTTCCACCACGGGGCTAATGGTAGGGAGTGATTTTTCAAAGCTTGTATGAAGGAGAAGCCCTTTTTCTTTACTTGGAATATCTGTATGCTATCTATAAGGGTTAGTTCTGAACAGAGGAGTGTGGCATTTCAACGAGAACCATATTAGATGTGGTGGCTTTCCCTCACGGGTGGAAACAGTGACTCCTACACAAATGTCTTCCCAGCGTAAAAGATCTTCGATAAATCAGGGATGGTACATTTTATGGAGATCCTATAATTCATGCACAGGGCTTGTTTCACAAGCCTACGGCTTGAAATTGGACTTGACCAGGAAGCAATCGCTGGCTCATTATATAACTCACTTACATACATGGACTCCTTCACATAAACCCAGAGGGTGGGCATGCTGGATGAAAATGAGAAACAGCAGTGGGGAAGGAAGAGCCATTTCAAATCGCCCTTCGTCTCAGACAGATGTTACTAAAGGGAGTATGTTGATGCAGAATTGGGTGGAGGCAGAAACCAATCTAGAACCACTTCTTAGCCCAGAGAGTTCTGATTTAAGGCTCCAGTTCGTTGAAGCCACTGTGTCATCTGCGGGCACTGAGGCAACAAGTTGTCACATAATACCTTTCCAAGAGTGCCGAACTTAAAAGCAATTCCCAAACAGTTTAGACAGAACGTTTGGCTCATTGCCTCATGTCTCAAAACTACAAAGGAGACTTGAGGCTCCTCCATCACATGAGGGCAGTCTTGTTTCCATAACCCCAGCCAACTTCTAATTACTCACGGGTCAATTATTTGACTGCTGGATTAGTGGACCCTGGGTTTCTTCCCTTCCACCCTTTCCTGACCACCTTCGAAAATCATTCCATTGCGGCCAATCACTTTTAAATCACCTTTGGAACCAAAATTAAATATAAACGGGGTGCCAAGAAGAAATATCCATAATCGGCATTCAAGTAAGTGTTTCAAAGCCCGAATACAAATGGGCTTTGTCTATCTGGCTAAGCGGTTTCCCACCCTGGTCTCTTCCCTTTATGCAGAGCTGAATGCTCATTAATTTCATGTAGACATAAAAGTTGAGGAGAGGAATTAAAATGCAGCCAAACACGATCATTGCCTTTTGTTAAAAGAGTTGATGGGGAAAGAAATAGACACTGATTGCTGGTGTTGTTTCAACTAGCTGGGCATTCATGTTTCTAATCTCACCCTGTTCTTTATTTCATCCTGATGCAGCGCTTAAGCGATTCCCTATTTTTAGCATTGTAACATTTAAAACCCTGCCTCATCTGTAGATAACAAAAGGTAACGCTGGCAGTAGATTCCATTTGTGTTGCAGACAACATACTTGCTCCAGACAAGCAAGTGTCATATGGTCACCAGCTAAAGAGATTCTAAGTGTGTGGTCTCCGTCCATCAACTAAAAAGTCCAATGCCCGGTTAGCACGTCTCTGCTGTGCCAACAGTGAAGAAACCCGACACATTATTAGCCAACGTTATTAGCATGGATAAAATGCCAATAGAGCAGGGCCAGTGTGCGGAAAGCTGGAGTAATGAACTCCATGCCCGAATCACATCTTCCTTTTGCAGCGAAACCCTGTTCTGTCCAAGTTGACTTCATCATCATGTGCCCGATGAAATGATATGTGCATGTGGTAGCACAAATTATGCATCCAGTTATTAAAATGGTGCCCCACAGCCCTATCCCTGTGAGTGGTTTTCAAATAAATTACTTTGGATGAAGCCTGGTAGAAAAGATTGCCATTAAGTGTAGTACATCCTTTTGAGGAATTAACTCAGGAAATAACTCATATAATTAGTGCAAGCTTTGTCCCCCCCTTCCACTGAAAGAGTCTAGCCAATGTGTCAAGGCTACAACATTCTTCAACGATGTTATAGCAGCTAAATAACAAGACATTTTATAAGTACTGACAGCTATGTGTTATCATATAATTATTTCTAAAAGTGTAAACGGATCTTAATTTCTGAATCATCTACTACTACCCAAACAGTATTTATGTTCGCTACAGAATTAGACTCTAGATAGATATTTTTGGAAGTTTCCTTTTTTTTTCTTTCTCTGTCTTTTGAGATACTTTTTCTTTTTAGTGCTTTATCACAATTTAACGTACAACTTACGGAATGCTGGAAGCACTCATTTGGCTTAATTGTAATTGGGTTTTCGATTTTCCTTAGATGGCTGGCTTTTGCAAGTTTTAAATAATTTGCTTCTGAAACAGGGTATTTCAAACACACTATTCAGGTTTTTCTGTCTCTCGTAGTCTAAATTACTTCTTTATGAAAGGTTGTGAGAGAGAGGTACTAATTCTAGAGGTTTGGAATATGTAAAAAGATGAGTTTAAAAACAAAAACAAAAACAAAAACAAAACTTTCAACCTGTCTATTACGGACTCACCAAGCCCCGAATGCATTCCTTCTTGTGGATCTATGAGGTACGTATGTAATCTTGCAGATTTATTCCATTTAAGAGTGGCTGGCTTTTATCTCTAAGTATCTGTTTTCGATTACAGGCGCCTTTGTAAATTACTCGCACAGCACCCAGCAGTGCTCGGCTTGCAAGTCTTTTGAGGACATGAAAATAACAAGAATGTGTACGAAGAGCTGGGTGATCTTTTAAATCGCTGCCATTTAAAATGTGGTCTGTGGACAGGCAGCTTGAGCATCACCTGGGAGCTTCTTAGAAATGCAAATTCACAGACCTCATCCAGACCTACAGAATCAGACTCTGGGAAAGGGGCCGGCCATCTGTGTTTGATGGAGTCATTCACCAGGTGCTTTGAGAAGCACTGTGTAAATAAGGGTTAGCACTTAGGGAGTGCTCACCGTGTATTCTAGGAGCCCTGCTACGGACTTGCTGTCCGGGAGCTTCTTCAGAGCTTGTGACCACCCTGGGAGGTGGGTACTACGGCGTCTAGGTTCTAGATGAATCACTTTCAGAATCACTTTCCAAAGTCAAACCTAAACACTGGTGAAATCAAGGCAATCCCAGCTCTAACTCCAAAGGCTGTACCCTCTTCCGGATGAAGGAGGAGGGTTCTTACGGCGAGGCCTTCCTGGAATGCCAAACTTCCCCTCAGAACGGTAATTTTTTTTTTTTTAATTTTTTTTTCAACGTTTATTTATTTTTGGGACAGAGAGAGACAGAGCATGTACGGGGGAGGGGCAGAGAGAGAGGGAGACACAGAATCGGAAACAGGCTCCAGGCTCTGAGCCATCAGCCCAGAGCCCGACGCGGGGCTCGAACTCACGGAACGCGAGATCGTGACCTGGCTGAAGTCGGACGCTTAACCGACTGCGCCACCCAGGCGCCCCGTCAGAAGGGTAATTTTTACTGCAAGCCACAAATGCATTTATATAGCACGACACTTTGCAAATGTCAATAGTCTGTCATTCAACATTTGGGCAGCAACAAAAATGACTCAAATATAAACACCACATTTAAACACAGTTAATTATAGAAGCCTATAGGTTTTGCAGACTAGAAAGTGTACCTTCTCTCTACTTAAGACCATAATTAGAAGCAGAGATATTCATCTGTAATCAAATTTAGAAAGAAAGGCAAAGTTTCAGCTTTCAGTCAGAAGCCAAAATTTGGAACAGAGAGCCGATAGAACTAAACTAAATCTAAAACTCACTGACTTGGGGGAAGGGGAGTTTCAGGGGTGGTGGGGGTGGGGGGAAAGACAGCTTTTCATAATCCTAACCAATGCAGCTCAAGGAAGGATCGGCTGGGGCTGTTCTTTGAAGACTTGTACACGGGCAGACCCTGAATATGTGGGTAGCATAAAAAAGTCTTCAAGTCTAAAGTTGTTCTTGTCGAAAAGCATTTTAAAGGGACCCAAGCCCACCTAGGATCTCCCCCCCCCCCACCCCACCGCCCCGATGCAAGTAAATCCTTTGTGCTGATTAAAAAGTTGGGCTTTTTGTGAGGCAGGGTATACGGGCCAAGAGGAGGACCCAAAAGGTGGGAGGGCAGGGGAAAACAAAGGGATTAGAAGGAACGGACCAGTTGCCCACTCGAGGACTGCTGTGTGTCCTCAGTGCTCCCGCCCACTAAATGATCAACCTGGCTGGCCCCGGGGGAGCTCGCACGCTGGGCTGATGGGGCAGCTCGAGATGGACCCGCTCTGAATGCTGCTGAGCGCCTTCCAGGACGCAGCACCTGCAGATGCTTGGGTCAACTGTTCCTCCTCCCACAGCTGTTCTCCGCAGGAGTTCCAGCAAGTGCCCGTCAGCCCCGGGCAGGGAGGCACTGAGGGGTTCCAGACGGCCCACACAGGCCAAGTGTTCAGCGACCTCGCGGAAGGTGAGCTCCCAGCCAACTGCTGTGCTGTGGGGATACGCGACGGCGGCCGCCTCAGCTCTACCTCTTTGTCTCAAATGACCCCCCCCCACTAGGGTAACTTCAGGATGCAAGCCTGTCGGGCTTATCTTTTAACGGTATTCTTTGCTCTCACCGTGGTCCTCCTCTGGAAATCTTGACTTCTTTGAAGGAAAGACAAGCGTCCAACCGGGAACTGTTTGTTGCTCTCATTTATAATCTCTGACGCACAGTTTCCTTCCCGAACTTGACCTATTCTCCTTTTTTCCTGGAGGAAGTAATCTTGCCTTGCAGGCCGACCCGAAGGACACCAGGGGGGGAAGCAGGCCTTCCCCTCCCCGGGGCCCCACCCCTTTTCATGCTTCTTGGCCTCAGCTCCCAATCGAGGGAATGTGCCTGGAAACAGACCAACGTGAGGGGACACAAGGGCTCCTTGCCACCAGGTCAGGGACTAAAAGGTTTTGAGTAGATTTCCTCTCATAAAGGGAAAGCGTCCGAACACGCCAGGAAGAAAAAAAGAAAATGCCAGAAGAAACGGTCTTTCCTTAACCTTCAGTAGGAGGGATGCTCCCAGCACCAAGCAGAGCAAGGCCAGGGGAGCCTAGCCCTGGAGGCCATACGTGCTTTTGCGACTGGATGAGACTGTTTTGCATTTAAGGGCTCAGCCGCTCAGAGTGATGTTTTGCGGGGGGGATCTGTAGACAAATGAATTTATAACAGCCTTACATCTCTCGGTGTCCCCAGCCCTTTGCCACTCCAGTCCCTATGCCTTTTGGTGGCTACTTAATTTCCAGTGCTGAGAGGGAGTGTATACAGAAGAGCAGCGCTTTAAGAAAATGCTCCAGACAGAGGAGACCCGAGCTGGGTAGCAACTTTCTCTCTACGGGGTCTGGACGTGGGGAGACGGAGGTAAACTGCAGGACCGCTGCTCACTGAGCATCTGAAATGCACGTGTCTTTTCTCTGGCACGAGTCAAGCGGCACTGCTGGGTCCAGCACTTTGCAAAGAGCGAAGCAGACGTCCGCGGCTGCGGAATGCGTGCCAGACCGCAGCCAGGGTCAAAGCCATCCGGCAAATCCTCTCACGGAACCCACAGCTCCTCTGCGTGCAGGTTGCCTCGCTGAAGTCATTCGGCGTGGGGGGCGGGGACAACAAGGAATACCGAACTGTGCAGGAAAAGCCCAGAAAGCCCGAGGAGCCCGCGTTTTCCAGGCCAACGGCAAGAGGGAAGGGACTTTTCCCCTACGACAGAGGAGGCTCGAGGGACAACAGCCACACGTGCGTGAAGCAAACCTTTTGCGCCTCAGTGTTTCACCTGGATACGCTTTCAAGTTTAATGCAGACGAATCAAGGCAAAGAAGAAGAAACGGAGAACAGGAGGGAGAAAGGTCTTCCCTCACTTCGGTAGCAATGGCTGATGTGACCTCCCGATCACGCGATTATGCAGCTGAAGGCTTGGCCCGCCGGAGAGAAGCATCTGGCAGGTGGTGGCAATTACCCGGCAGGCAGCAGCTGAGACCCCTGTCTGCGGAGGGAGGACGGCAAGGGGAGCACGTCCAGCGATCTGATGCCACCGCAGCCTTTCCTTCTTCACACCTGTGCCCCCTTATCCTGGCAAAGCCGCGTGTCATAAAGCACTAAGCCCACATCTTCCCGTGCCTTGTTGGAGGACGTTAGGTTTTTAACTTTTTAAAAAATGTATTTATTTATTTTAAGAGAGAGCAAGGAGGGGAGGAGCAGAGACAGAGGGGGAGAGAGAGAGAGAGAGAGAGAGAGAGAGAGAGACAGAGAGAGAGAGAGAATTCCAAGCAGGCTCCGCGTTGTTGGCACAGAGCTTTTACACGGGGCTTGACCTGACAAACTGTGAGATCGCCGCCTGAGCCAAAACCGAGTCAGATGCTCAACCGACTGAGCCACCCAGGCATCCCGGAGGATGTTAGGTTGTAAAGAAGAATGCAAGTCTTCCAAGTACAGAAGTAAAAGATGGTTAAAGATTTCAGGTTCTGTATTCCTAGTCACTAGCATCCAGAATGCTCTTTTTCTCACAGTCCTAGAGGAGATGAAGGTGGGGATTCTGAAAACCAACTGGCTCTCGCTTAGCCTCATTTTTGGTTGTGCAGGCTTGGCCCCTGGCCTCTCAACTCCGCTGGCCTGTCGTCAGGCCAAACACAGTCCACAGGCCATAGTCACGTGGCCATGTGGGCAGGTGGCTGTGTCTACAGAAAAGGTTGACTTTCATTTGGACTATGTATGCCATTCACGATAAGACTTTTGCTCCCATCAAGTGATCTTCTTGGAGGAAAAAAAAGATCAAATCAAAGAAGCTTTGAGGCTTCTGGGTATGGTTTCTATTTTAGAGCCATAGAGGGAACGGAGAGTTTAAGACAACATGATACGTCCCCAGTCTGGTCCCTCTTGTTGACCAACACCTGCTGCCCATGCTCCCAACGGCTCAGACACCTATGAAGCAAAAGAAAACTTGTGCGAGAACGTTCTGGCCTCTCCGATCTTGGCAATACAATGACCCGCTGGATAAGTGTTTGGAGGGAGCAGGGAAAAGGCAAGAGGCTAGGAAGAAAAACTGAGCACCTTCCTGAGCAATAAAGACTAACGGGCCAACCTTTAAAACAGGAAATTACAGTCAGTCTTCAAGCCAAATACAGCCTGCTGCCTGTTTCTGTAAATAAAGTTTTATTGGAAAACAGCCATGCCCACGCACTCACATCGCCTAAGGGGACTTGTGCACTCTCAGGCCGAGTTGGACAGTTGCAGCAGAAACCCGGCCTGCAAGGCTCAAAACACTCACGGGCTCTTTGCAGGAAAAAAAAAAACAAAAAAACAACCTTTGCCAACACCTGTTTTGAAACACACACAGAATGTCCCTTCGCTTGGGAAGATGCCTGGGCAGGAGAATCCGGTTAATCTGCAACAAATGCAGACATTCAAGGGCAGGGGAGAGAATCGCAAAGGCCCAAGGAGGTGGTGCCCTGCATTTCTTTGTTAGGATGAAGGGGGCCTTCGCTTTTTCTGCGGCACCCTTTCACTGTTACTCAAGCATTCAATGTTACACCATTCCCCGCCTACAAGCCCAGGCGGTTTTGCACTCCCTCATTGACGTATGGGCAGGGAGAGCTAGGACTGTCCCGTCCTGACATGTAGGTGCCCCCTTAGTTTTAATGGTGGTAAGGAGCAGCTGACACTTTCTACCTTACATGACAGCTCAGTCTTGGTGTCACCTCTTACCCGCTGGTGACCCGAAGCCATCACGGTACCTGTTGGCCAAAAGCTGGGACCTGGTTCCCGAGGGCGAGGTCAGGTAGATGGCCAGGTCTCCCCTCCTCGGGTGAGTGATGGTTATGCGCACAACTACGTGCTCCAAGTAGTTGACGTGGTGGTTGGGGTTATCGGAACACCCCGAAGCTTTGTAGATGGAGCGCACGGCGCTGTTGGGGCGAATTGTCCTGCAACAGAGAGAGACGGAGCGTGAGCACAGGACGTGACTGACGACCGAGCCGGCTGAGTGAACCTTGCACGCTTGGCGAGGTTACACGATGGAATGCAAGCAGTTGGTCGCTGGATACTAACGGACGGACACAGTGCGATCACCCCAGGATCAACACCGGTGAGTCGGTGGGAAAGGTGTCAGTGAGAGGAAAGGAGGAATTAAGGGTCTTTTATCTTCGTGCTGGGAGTGGCTCTCGAGCTGGAGGGGATCACCTTGTTACAGAACACATGGGGCGGAGCCCCCGAGCTAGAATGTCTGAAACAGGAAGGCTGAGGTGGGCTTCCAAGAACCTGCGTTTCTCAGGCGACAGTGATGTTGCTGATCTATGGGATATACTTTCCGGACCGCTGATATAAGGCACTGTGGTCCGGGGGAGACGTGGGGATTACCACGACCTTGGTTCAAATCTCTGGTCTGCCACTGCCTTGCTCTATAACCCACGGACGCACTCCTCGACCTGCGTCCACGTTCCTGTCTTCTTCGCTGGCTTCCCCCTGTGTCACCGTCCCCTTGAACCTCAGCCCCCGTAACACCAATATCAGTTCCAGTTGCGGGGTGATTCGTTTCCCACCTCAGAGACTCTGCCTAAAGCATTTTTTTTTTTTTTTTTTTTTGCTGTTGTTCATATGGCTGACTCTTCCTCTCCCTTCATGGTCAAAACTTGAACGTCACTCTCTGAGATTGTCACTGAGCCACAGGAAAAACATGCCCCCTACTTCCTATTTTCTGTTTTATTTTCAACGTGTTGTTATTTTTATATAATAGGTTGAAAATATACTTTGTAATTATATGTTCTGTAGTGACGCTTCTGGAATAGAAGGGTTAGTTTCTTTGGAGTACATTGACTTACGGAGAAAACTTCTACCGTTAAATGGAAATTCTGGCTGAGGAGCAACCTTAAGAATGCCCATCTATAAGGCCCTCCAAATCCCCTAATAAGAGGTGCCCATGAGGCTCCTTGGTTTCTATTGCGTGGATTTAAGAGCTTAGCATCCTAGACGTTCTAGGAGACTTTTCTCATTACATTAGGAAGAAACCCCCCAAAACTACACAAGCGTCTGGCTCTCATATACAACAAAGGGCTTCCTGCGCACTTGAGCTGGTCCCATCTCTTTCAGGGCAGTGTTATGCTGTCTGCTTGCCGCGAACATTACTTGATTTGTCGGTCTGTGCTCTCCACACACACGTGCTGCTGGGGAACAGTGGTCCACTTCTCGGCTTCCATCACCATGGCTTCTGCGTCCATCAGTCCAAATCCATAGAGATGGCTCACTATGGAAGGCAAGAGGCTGGTCAGCTTCACGGAAGTTAGGATAAACCGACGCCATATACGCTCTGCTAGGATTTCACTCAGCAGAGGACCCGGGCCCATCCCCCCGGGGACCCCGGCTTTGTTCCCAGCAACGACTTAAAAGCCAAATGAAACAAAACAAATGAACAAACGCAACAAACCCAATACGTGCTCACTGAATAGTATGCATCCATTACAAACTCTCCTGGTGCGACAAGAACTTACATGCAAGAAATACCAATTTTCTGACATCTCTACAAGTTAGGCTGAATATTTCAGAAGACAAAAATTATTACCTTTCCTCTACCATATGAAAAATTGATTAAACTTTATGCATGAAATATTTGGAGGCCTCCAGACTTTTACGCCAGCTTCTTTGAATGTTGTAATCGTTTGGTTCTCGGTAAGAATGCCTATTGATCTAAATCTGAAATTGACATAACTGTCTCAGAAGTTTCATTACACACAGGGATATTTTCATAATGCTAGCAGCCATATCTACATGTGTAGTCCTTTTGAAAAAAATACTTGAAAATCCCAGCGAATACTTAAAATCTCCATCCTGTATTAAACTGTCTCATATCTTTATATTGAACAGAGTGTCCTAGTTCTACCAGATTTTTTGCCTAAAATATTTTCTTTACAACAGTATTTTGCGTGAAAATGTCTAGAGCTGCCCGTGCTTCTTGATCATTTAAATATCTCCGCTTGAAATCCAAGATGTTCTATGATATAGTCCCATGCTACTTGCAAAACAAGCTTCTCCCTAAAACTTTTGCTTTAGAGAGGTCATTTCTTTACAGTTCCCAGTCCTGTCTTGCTCTTTCTGCCTCGCTGCTTTTACTCATGCTGAGACCCTGGCCTGGAGTCCCCCCTCCCCCTCCCCCCCCCCCCCCCCACTCTGCAGACTCACATTCTACTCCTGAGTTCTGGAAGGCCTAGCTCGTCTGTCTTCTCCTTCTTGAAATATCCTCTGACCAATAAAAGTCAGGAGACATTTACTGAAACTCAGCCATCTGTCATGCACTTTTCTCTTTTCTAGTCCTGTAACTCTAATAAATTTGTCAGGCCGTCTTCTGCCCATCCAGCCATCCGCCCACACATCCATGCATTCATGCATCCATCCAGCATTTGAGTGTCTTCTGTATGCCAGGCACTATATTACTCACACCGCACTTTTTAATTACGTGCCATTCATTGAATCACTAATTCCATCAGCACGTGTCTTTGCCCAACTACATTATAAACTGCTTGATGGCAGGAACGAGGACTTAGATTTCTTCACGTGATTCATGTTTTTAGCAGAGCTTTGCACATACGGGGGGGGGGGGGAGAAATGATTGCCTATCAAAAGGGGAAATTGCGTGAGGATTCAGAAATACTGCTCTATTTTTGCTCTTTGCTAATTACATAATTCTTGGCAAACAAGCTAAAATAACCCACAATTTCCATGTTTGGGGATATTATTGTCTATCCCGTCCCCGTCACTAAGTTGATGAGGTCATGTTATGTGTCCCATGTGAGAACATCTTTGTCAAGACCTGCACAAATGTAAGGGCTCGTTATTAAATACCAGGTCCTCAGACAGGACATACTGAATAAAACTGAATAAACCTATTTAGGTATAGCAAGGATATATGTAGGATTCTTATACACAGACTTTTGCAACTTCTATTATGATTTTTCCTTGACTGAAAAGAAATGCATGTCCATTGCAAACACTTGTAAATACCTCCGGAAAAGAATGAAGACAGCAAAACTCATCAGTAACCTCATCACACATTGGTAACTGTATGTTAACAGGAATGTATCAACAACTCTGTATATTTAGTTTTAGTTACACGACACGACGCAAGGTGATTTCACCTCCTTAGTTAAAAAAAGAGGCAAGAGCGATCCACGTGTTACAGGAAAAATGTCAAGTTTGGGCTTAAGCAAACCAAGTCATAGCGATCTTTTTATTAAAGTTCATGTGAATCGCAGGTTATCACTTATCACTTCACCATCGATACGGGCAACGGTCTGTATCATCAGCATTAACATTCTTTTATTTTTTTACTTTTCAGAGAGAGAGGCAGGGCGAATGGGGGAGGGGGCAGAGAGAGGGAGGGAGGAAGAGAGAGAGAGAGAAAGAGGGAAAGAGAGGGAGAGAGAGAGGGAGAAAGAGAGACTCTAGAATGTGCTCCATGCTCAGCACGGAGTCCAACGTGGGGTCCGATCCCACGCACGACCCTGGTACCGTGACCTGAGCCGAAATCAAGAGTCGGACGCTCAACCAACTGAGCCCCCCGCCGGTGCTCCACGAACATTGTAAGGTTTTTTTTTTTTTTTCCCTAGAGGAATTGAAATTATTGCCATATATGCTACATTACGCCAGGCTCTCTAACTCTGCATGGTACCCAAATATCCCTATACTCGTGTCAGTTGGTTTTCAACCAGCACGACTTATCATTTTATCTCTGTTTAGGGAAATAAGACGAATGATTTGGTTAGTGGGTGGAGGCAGGAGGAGAGGGGGGAAGGAAGTCGGGGAGGGCAAGACTAGGGCTGACTGGACTCCGGCTCAGCCGCTCCTGTTGCTGCCCCGCCCCCATCCCAATAACCGTCAACCTAACGACCATTAGGCTGTAAGTGAACACTTAGAGTCACCAAACACAACAAACGCTTCATGCCTGTGCAACAGGCACTTGAGTCGAGTAGAAAAGCACCTCGAGTCTTCATGAAGGCCCTACGTTGGTTTCCTTTTTCTCAGTCAGCTCCTACCCGCCAGAGACAATGTCCATTCATGCAACACTCAAAGCAGATGTTCAGAAAAGAGGCTGGCTGGTTCCAGGTAAACTCCAAACTGGCAGGTCAATGGGAAAAACACTGTAGATTGAGGTATATGTGTATTAATATAATTTAATAAATGAAGAAATTACATTAGATGGGTAAAGACCATTAAGTCAGTATTGGAGATTCTTCGTAGTTGAAGATAGTGGAAACTGTGTATTTGTCCACAATCATGACACACAGCCTGAGAAAAAAAGAAAATACACTTGTATCCTCTCATGGGTGGTGGTGCCGTTGGCAATATATCACCTCCATGTATTCTTTTCTTTTTTTAATTTCATTTTTTTAATTTACATCCAAATTAGCATGGATTACGACAACGATTTCAGGAGTAGAACAACGTGTATTCTGATTGGCAGTTATGTGTTTGGTTTTGGGTAAATACTAATGAGAAAATAATGACACAATGAATGTGTTAGGCACATAAACTCTTTTGAAACAGGATGTCAACAGGGAAATGGCGGCGATGCGATCTGGAAGCATTCATATTCTTTTAAAGGCGTAGTTATAATTGACATGTAACGTATCTTTTTTTAAAATAAAATACAAAGTTTGCATAGTCTAACATAACTCTAAATTCAGAAACGAGTCTTTCTTTTGGTGACTGTCTGGGTCAAGTCGTCTTGTCCATCACGCTGTTACCATGATGGGCGATAGGAAGTATCACTACTCTCTAGTGGTTACGGGAGAGCGTCTGTACATATCTGGGAAGTAAATGAATGCAACTGATAGGAGGCATCTCATTAAATTCTCCAAATGGCATAAAGTGTTTACGTGAGAATTTCAAGAGGAATGACGAAGTCTCTTCTTTTTATTACAGACTTCTGCAAAGTCTTCAACATCCCCGATTCATTCACGCATAGAGCCAATATTCACTCTAAAAAATTATGATTGTAGCGCACATCCCATGCAAACAGCTACCTGTGCCACAGCCATCCCTACCTAAATAAGTTTTATTTATGCACATTTCTCGTGCCAGGCTCAGAGCAAGACCCGAACCTAAAAATAACTCTATGAGGGTCAAGTACAGCCCTCTCAGGGCAAGCCGTGTGCAAAAGGAAGAAATCTATGAAGTTAGATACTATAATGGTATGAGGCGGAATCTAAGCAGTTCAAACGGAAATTTTTCATTTCTAGGAGTGTGGGCAGCAAGCTTTCAATTAATAGTTTGACCGTTAATTAAGATCCAAAAATCAATGTTTAGAAAGGTATCAAGGGACCAAAGCATGTTTACAGAGTAATTAAAGATCTTGAGGCAAAGTGATTGAGGCAGGTGTCAGAAAGTGGAATGATGCCGGGCAAGCTTAAGAAAGAAAAGTGGAAATACTTGAATAACTATATTAGCCTCGTGTGGCTGCACGACTGCTCATGCAGATACAGCTCAGAAGAGTGGAACTGTCTTGTGCCAGAAGTATAGCCAGCTTTTATTCCGAGTCGTCTGAAGGCTTCTCTGCTTGGACCGGGAAAATAGATAATGTTCTCCAGCAGGTGTATTTCCATTTTCTGATGAGACCAGAAGTGCTGAAGGAAGCTAATCGTTCAGCACATAAGCAACTGACTGCGTGGTTGGGAACAGATACGGTTAACTTACGCAACATTCTACCTAGGAGGGCTTACAGACTCAATTCTAGAGAAAAGCTAGACAGCTCGGCGAGAAAAAAAAAAATAATAATTTAGAAGTTCCTGAGCATAGGAAGCTATAAGCAGGGAAATGTGGTATCCTGTTCTTTCTTTTAGCACAGTGCCCTTGCTGGAGCCAGCTATTCTATTCTATTCTATTCTATTCTATTCTATTCTATTCTATTCTATTCTATTCT